CACGAGTGTTGTGTGTTTCAGCGGTGTTGTGTGGTCAGCGAGGTTGTGTGTGGTCAGCGAGTGTTGTGTGTTTTCAGGAGTTTTTTTGGTGTGCCCGGGAGTGTTTGTTGGCGGAGTTTTTTGTGTGTTCACGGGTGTTTTGTGTGTCAGGAGTGTTGTGGTGCGAGTGTTGGTGGGGCAGCGAGGGTTGTGTGTGTCAGCGAGGTTGTGTGTTAGCGAGGTTGTGTGTGTCGGGAGTGTTTGTTGTGTCAGCGAGGTTTGTGTGGGGGCAGCGAGGTTGTGTGGTCAGCGAGGTTGTGTGGTCAGGGAGGTTCCGCAAATTGTGTGTGTCAGGAGGTTGTGTGTTCAGCGAGGTTGTGTGTGTCAGCATGTTTTTGTGTCAGCGAGGTTGTGTGTTGGGTTGGGTGTGGATGTGTTGTGTCAGCGAGTGTTGTGTTGTGAAAGGGGGGCAGCAAGTGTTGGTGTTTTCACGAGGGTTGTGGTTCGGAGTTTTTGGTGGGTCAGGAGTTTTTTTGGGGGTTGTTGTTTGTGCACGGTGTTGTGTGTGTCAGCGAGTTTTTTGGGGGTGTCAGCGAGTGTTGTTTTGGGGAGGGGGGTTTTTGTTTTTTGGGGTTTTGGGCAGCGAGTTTGGTGTGTCACGAGTGTTTGTGTTCAGGATGTTGTGTGTGTCAGCGAGTGTTGGTGTGTCAACAGTTTGTGGTGTCGCGAGGGTTGGGGTTCAGGAGTGTTGTGTTTCAGCGAGTGTTGTGGTGTCAGCGAGTGTTTGTGGTCAGCGAGGTTGGTGTTTGTCAGCAGGTTTTGTTGTAGCGAGGGTTGTGTGGTCAGCGATTTTTGTGTGTGTCAGCGAGGGTTGGTGTGTCAGGAGGGTTGGTTTTAGCGAGGGTTGTGTGTGTCAGCAGTTTTTTGGGTGTGTGTCAGCGGTGTTGTTTTGGGTCAGCGGGGGTTTGTGTGGTCAGGAGGGGTTGTGTGTGTCGGGGGGGTTGTGTGTGTCAGCGGGGGGTTGTGTTTTTCAGCGAGGGTTGTGTGTTCAGCGAGGGGTTTTGTGTTAGCTGTTGGGGTTGAAGGGGGTTTTGGGTTTTGCGGTGTTGGTTTGTGTAGCGAGGGTTGTGTGTGTCGCGTGTTTGTTGTCAGCGAGTGTTTTTTGTGTGTCAGCGGGGTTTGGTTTTGTGGGTTTTTGGGTTTGCAGCGAAATGTTGTGTGTGTAGCGGGTTTGTGTGTGTCGCGGTTTGTGTGTGTCGCGAGTGTCTTGTGTCACGGTGTTGGTGTGTCAGCGAGGTTTTTGGGGCAGGAGTGTTTTTTGTGTGCGCCGATGTTGTTCAGGAGGTTGTGTGGTCAGCAAATTGTGTGTGTCAGCGGGGGTTTTGTGTGTCAGCGAGTTGTGTGTGTCAAGTGTGGGTTGTTTTTTTTGTGTCACCCGGGGTTTTTTTGTGTGTTGTCACGAGGGTTTTGATGTCACGGGGGTTGTGTGTGGCGGGGGGTTGTTGTGTCAGCGAGTGTTGTGTGGTCGCGGGGTTGTGTGTTTTTAGCGAGGGTTTTTGGTGTGTGTAACGGGGTTTGTGTGGGTTGGTGTCCAGCGGGGGTTTGGTGTGTCACGAGGGTTGTGTTGCACGATGTTGGTTTGTTCAGGATGTTTGTGTGTCAGCGATGTTGTGTGTGTGTCAGCGAGGGTTGTGGTTATTTTTTCAGCGAGGTTGGGTGTAGCGAGTGTTTGGTGTGTCCGAGGTTTTGTGTGGGGAGCGGGGTTTTTGTGGTGTCACGGGGTTTTGTGTGTTTTCCGAGTGTTTTGTGTGTCGCGAGGGGTTTGTTGTCACGAGTTTTGTGTGTCAGCGGGGGTTTGTGTGTCAGGAGTGTTGTGGGGTGGGGTTTGGTTGCGATTGTTGTGTGGGTGTGTGTGTTGAGGGTTTCTTTTCAGCGGGGGTTTTTGTGTTGGGTTTTGTTTCAGCGATTTGTTGGAGGGTTTTGTGTGGGGGGTGTGTGTCCGAGTGTGTGTGTGTGGGGGTTGTGTTGTGGGGGTTGTGTGTTGGGTGTTGTGTGTGTGTGGGGGTTTTTGTTCCCACTTTTTTTAAAGGGAGGGTTGTTGGTGTCGCGGGTTGTTTTCAGCGATTTTGTGGTGTGTCGGGGGGTTTGTTTTTTGGGGGGTTGTGTGTCAGCGAGGTTTGTGTGGTCAGCGATTTTGTTGTGGGTGTTGTGTGTGGTCAGCAAAGGTTGGGTGTATTTTGGTGTCAGCGGGGGTTTTGTGTTGTGTCCGGGGGGTTGTGTGTGTCGGGGGTTTGGGGGCCTGTTGTGTTTTTGAGGGTTTTTGGGGTTTTCAGCGAGGGTTTGTGTGTCGCGAGGTTGGTTCAGGAGGTTGGTGTCAGGAGTGGTTGCGCGGGTTTGTTGGCGGGGGGTTTTTTGTGGGGGGTTTTTGGGCCCCGGGTTTTGGGGCGGAGGTTTTGTGTGTGTTCGCGTGGGTGTGTTTTTGGGAGGGGTTGTGTGTGCCAATTTTGGGTGTGTGTTGGTGGGGAAGTTGTGTTTTGGCGGGGTGGTTTGGGGGGTTGTTTTTATGATTGGGGGGAATTTTGTTGTTTGGGGGGGGGATTGTGTTGCAGCGAAAGTTGTGTTTTGGGGTGTGTTGGGGTAGAAATTTTGTGTTGGCGGGGGGTGTGAGCGGGGGTTGTGTGTCGCGAATTGTTGTGTGGCGGAAATTTTTTTTTTTGTGGTGTGGTTTCGGGGAAGGTTATGTTTGCGGGGGTTGTGTGTTCGCGGGGTTTTGTGTGGAGGGGGGCGGGAAGGGGTTTGTGTCCGGGGATGTGTGTCGCGGGAGGATAAGGATGTTTTGGTCTTGGGATGGTATAGGCGGGGGGAGGGAGGGGGTGTGTTTTCGGAAAAGAAGTTTGTTTTGGCGGGGATGTGTTGCGGGGGGGGGGGTGTGTTGCCAGGAGAGATTGTTTTGGGCGGGGATGTGTGTGTTTTTGGGGGAATTTGTGGTTGGCGGGAGAGTGTTTTGCGGGGGGGTGGTGTTGGGGGGAGCTTGCGGGGGGAAAATTTTTGTCGGGGGGAGGGTTGTGTGGCAGTGGGTTTGTGTCGGAAAAGGTTTGGTTGGGGGTGTGTGTGTGTGGGGCGGGAAGTGTTTTGGTCCAAGGGTTGTGTCGGGGGAATTGTTTGGTCCGGTGGGATGTGGGGGTCGGGGGGGAGATTGTGTGTGCCCAAAAAAATTTAAGGAGTTGGGGTGGCGGGGGATGTTTTTTGTCAGCGGGATTGGTGGTCAGCGAGAGGATGTGTGTTGGGGGGAGAGGTTGTGTAGTGGGAGATTGGGTGTGTCAGCGAGGATTGTTTGCGGATGTGTTGTTGGCGAGGGTGCTTGGGGGCAAAAAATGTGTCGAGGGGGGGATGTGTGATGTAATTGTTAAAGGGGGATGTGTGTTTGGTGGGAGGGAAATTTTTGCCCGGTGGGGGGTTTTGGGGAATTTAGCGGGGGGATGGGTGTAGGGGAAAAAAATTGGGGGTAAAGGGAGTGTGTCAGGGGGGTGTGTGTCAGCGGGGGTTTGGCAGCGGGGGGTGGGGTAAAGGAGGGTGTGTTTCAGGGTTGTTTTTTCAGCGGGTTTTTTAGGGGAAAGTTGTTTTGGGGAGGGGATGTGTTGGGGGAAAAAATGTGGAAAAGGATGGGATGTGGATTGCAGGGGATGTTGCTTGGGGGGGTTTGTGCAGGGGAGGTTGTTGAAGCCGCGGGGTGTTTTTGTGGGGGGAGGGTTGCTTTGGGGATTGTGTAACAGGGATTTTGCCCTTTTTGCTTTCACGGGGGTTTGTTTTATTGTGTTTTTTGGGGGTTGTGTGTTCTTTCCCCAAATTTTAGGGGGTTAGTATGTGTTGGGTGTGTTTTCGATGAAGTGTGATCGGAATTGTTCCCGGGGAGATGTTGGGAGCCGGGTTTTTTTTGGGCCCGGTTTTGTTTGTAAGCAAGGGATTTTTGTTTTTTTTCAGCAGGTTTTGTGTGTGTATGGGGGGGGTTTTGTTGTGCGGCAGGGTTGGGTTTTTGGGCAAGATGTGGGTCGGGATTTGTTGGTTCCGAGGGAGTGGTGTGCTTTTTTTAAAAGTTTTTCGGCGGGAGGGAGTCCCCCGGGGATTTTTACCCCGGGGGGTTTGGGGGTTTTTCCCAAAGGGGGGGGTTCCAAGGGGTTGGACCCAAAGGGATGTTGGTTTCGGCAAGGGATGTTTCATTTGCCCGGGGGGGGTTTTTCCGGGGATTTTTAAACTATTTTGGGACCGGGGGCCTGCTCATAAGTCTCGGAGCACAGGGAGTAAAAGTCTCGGGAGCACAGGGACTGCTCACTAAGTCTCGGGCCCCGGGGGGCCTCCTCACTAAGTTCGGGCACCGGGGGCTGCTCACTAAGTCTCGGAGCACCGGGGGCCTCCTCACTAAGTCTGGAGCCCGGGGGCCTCCTCACTAAGTCAAAGAGCACCGGGTTGTCCCCTACTTACGAGTAGGGGAGCCGTCCACTTAGCCAAGGGATAGAGGCCAGGTCACCTAGTACCGGGATCTGGATTTATATATTGTAAATGTATCACAACATGAAAACGATCAGGTGCCTGTTTACTGTGGGTAAAAAGGGCAGTGTGAGGAATTTACATATCCCCCAACCTGAGAATCAGATTTCGGTGTTGGAAAAATTGTTGGAGTGTCAGGGTTTTAAAAAATGCTTTTAAAAGTTAAAGTTATGGTGATAAAAAACATTATTTTTAAATTACAAAAGTGAAAAATTGTTCTTGGTTTTGGAAAGGGAAATTTGATTTGTGTTCATCTAGAGCCTTTTTCCCAAAGAATGATGTAAACATCTCGGACGATGATATGGACGGAGCATTTTCACTAAAAGTCGGTGTAAACACTGAAGATTATCTTAACGAATCGTTATAAGGTGGGGGTTGAAAAACCACCAGTCGATAATCGGAACCTAGTCGTTTACTGAGAGTGCATTGAAAACACACTCAGACTTAAAACTCCACCATCAGAGGCGAGGACTTACCTTCGTGCAGAGAAATATCAATGGTGAGGGTGTAGGGGTGGAGGAGAGTCCCTGGGGAGATGACCAAGCCCCTTGGTGAGCAGCTTCACTAGCCACCCACAGGACACTGAGCTTACCCCTCGACTGCACCAGTGAATCTTCTGGCCCGCCAGTCACACATGAGACTCCCTATCACCACACTGGACTTGTCACACCGCAGCAAATCTCCTTGTCGCGACGTTTATTAAAAGTTTCCTTTTTAAAAGTGGGGGGGGGGGGCGCGGACGCAAATATTTGCGTAAAATTTTTCAAGAGTAGTTGTTGGTGTTGGGTACGCGAGTACATAGGGTGCGGGGAGAGCGGGTGGGGGCCCCCTTTCCCAAAGGGTACACTGAAGTATTAACAGGGGGATCAGAGAGGCAGGCGGTCGGGAGAGTTGCTGATGGGGGTTCGACTATGAAGCGACGTCGGGGAAAAGGTACCAGTCCCTGAAGCTGCAGGAGGCCGCCCCACGCTGCCCGGGCGGGGGCCCCCCCTCTCCAGCTCCCACCCACATACGCCCCCCCACCCCAAAATAACACATCCCACCACCCCAACCCCCAGTTTATAGTCCCCGCTATTTCTTCTCTAACCCCTGTAGCTTTTACCATCATACAACGCCCGCCAGTGCTCATAAATTTGTGGTCGTTTAAAGTTGAGGGGAACCAAAATGAGGGTAACGTTAATTGTAGTTAATGTTAGGAAGTCTGGGTTTTGTTGGTTGGCGGAGGTAGCCGGGGCGGGCGTGGAGGGCGGGGCCATGGACAGAGGGATTTGCGGTTCTCGACCACCAACCCGACATCTCCCCGCTGCCCACACCACCCCCCCGAACTACCCGCCCCCCAAAATTTCCATCGCAGTACTCCCCCCCCCGCCCGCTTTTTAAAAACCTGCTATACTTTTCCTTATCCTCCCCCGCCCCTATACCCCGCCGCCCATATACCGTCGCCCCAAAGCGCCTTCCACTCCTTTGGCGACGCACATCCCCACGACGGTACCACCACCGCCGCCGACGGCACCACCACCGCCGCCGATACCACCGCCGCCGACGGCACCACCGCCGCCGACGGCACCACCACCACCAGGCCACCAGCACCGCCACTTACACTTGAACATTCATTACCATTAAAATTTTAATTACATGGTAATTAAAAATATTTTTAAATTTTCAAAGAAATTACACTACATATATATTATATATATATATATTATATATATATATATATATATATATATATATATATATATATATTTTATATATATATATATATATATATAATTACTTGCTTAATGCATCCATATACAATATTTACTTTTATGTTACCTCATAATATTAAAAAGAAATAATGCAAAAAGGAAATTTTTTAATAGATTTCAAAAAACTATCAGTTAATTTATAAATAAGTTAAAATTGTATTGTTTTCCAACAGCAATTTTTTAAGTTATTATTTATTGTTTATTGGCGAGGTTTAGTATTATATATATATATATATTTTATATATATATATATATATATATATATATATATATATATATATATATATATTATATATATATATATATATATATATATATATATATATATATATATATATATATATATAAAGCAACGTTATTTTTTAACAATGTTGCTGGTTATTACAACATGAGAACTGGCAGATAAATCATGGAGTTTATATTTTTGTTAACACTAGTGTAATCCACTTTGCCAGGAGTGTTAAGTCTTACGTCATGCATAGCATATCTGTCATTAGATTACTACACAAGTATATAAAAGATTTGGATATAAATAAGAAATACTGCTGGGAGGAGCAGCATCAGCGTGAGAGCTGTGCAGAGCTCGGCGGAGCTCCACACAGTGAGAGCTCCACCCCCTGAGTGAATAACAGAGAGGGGTGGAGCCTGGCGTACCTCACGCTTGATTGGTTACTCCTCCTCAGGTTTCCTTCTCATTGGTCCCTGTATAAGCTGCTCCTCCCACGGTTTCTCCTCATTGGCGAGCGCGTCAGCAGCTCCTCCCACTCCCCGCCACGGAAGAGATGTTGTTATCTCGGTGAAAAGGAGATCTCAAAGTAATTCATGGTCAGTACTTCGTTCATAATACGGTTTGTGAAGATTCTATTAAATCATCTAGTCACAGTGGCTGTGATCATATTGTGTGAGGGGTGGCGGGGGGCGGCGGCTGGGGGGAGGGGCGGCGATGTCGGCGGGCGGGGGACGGCGGCTGGGGGAGGGCGGGTCATTACACCACCCTTCGCTCTGATCTATTCTCCACATTATCCTGGCCAAGGTAGTTCCTTCACTCGCCCGTCTAATGGAGCCCTTGACCGTAAATCACTTTCAGATTCTCAGTATAGATGATTTAATTCAATTCATTAAGAGGCAAACTAGGTACGTGATTTGGTGGGCGTGGGTGGGCGGAGGTGGTAGGGCGGAAGTGCGGGCGTGCACGCCTGCGCGCCCACACCCACGCCTCAGCGCCCACACCCTCCCAGAATCATATGATACTTGATGTTAAGTCGGACCAAACCTGGTGAAATTGTATTACACGCCTGCTTGGTGGCTGCTGGGGCGGCCCAGGTCAGTGGGTGGCGGGGGCGCCCACCCTCGCTGCTGGGGCGGCCCTGGTCAGTGGGTGGCGGGGGCGCCCACCCCCACTGCTGGGGCGGCCCTGGTCAGTGGGTGGCGGGGGCGCCCACCCCGCTGCTGGGGCGGCCTGGTCAGTGGTGGCTGGGGGCCACCCCCACTGCTGGGGCGGCCCTGGTCAGTGGGTGGCGGGGGCGCCCACCCCCGCTGCTGGGGCGGCCCTGGTCAGTGGGTGGCGGGGGCGCCCACCCCGTGTGGGGGGCCCTGGTCAGTGGGGGGGGGCGGGGGGCGCCCCCCCCCCACTCCCTGGGGGGGCCCTGGTCAGGGGGTTTGGGGGGGGGCCGGCCCACCCCCCTGCTGGGGGGGCCCCAGGTCAGGGGGGTGGGGGGGCGCCCCCCCCCACGGCTGCGGGGGCGCCCCGGTCAGTGGGGGGGCGGGGGGGCGCCCACCCCCACTGTTGGGGGCCCGGCCCCTGGTCAGTGGGTGGCGGGGGCCCCCCCCCCTTTTTTTGGGGGGCCGGGGGCCCTGGTCAGGGTGCGGTGGGGGGGGGCGCCCCCCCCCGCGCGGGGGCCCGGCCCGGTCAGTGGTGGGCGGGGGGGCCCCAAGCTGGGGCGGCCCGGTCAGGGTTGGGGGGGGCCCCCCCGGGGGGTGGCATGGGGGGGGGCCCCACCCCCGCTGTTGGGGCGGCCGGGGTTTCGTGGGGGGCCCGGGGGGGGAAAAAAAAAGGGGTTTGGGGCGGCCCGGTCAGTGGGTGGCGGGGGGCCCCCCCCCCCGCTGGGGGCCGGCCCTGGTCAGTGGGTGGCGGGGGCCCCCCCCCGTGCTGGGGCGGCCCGGGTTTCGTGGGTGGCGGGGGGGCCCCAGCTGGGGCGGCCCAGGTAAAGTGGGGGGAAGGGGGGGCGCCCCCCCCCGTTGCGGGGAAAGGCCCCATGGTCTTTGGGGGTTGGCGGGGGGCGCCCACCCCGAATTCCTGGGGCGGCCCAGGTTTTATGGGTGGCGGGGGTGCCTACCCTGTTTTTGTGGTGGCCCGGAATTCCCCCCCTGGGGGGGGCCCGGTGGGGGGGGGGCCCACCCCGCTCCCTGGGGGGGCCCTTGGCAGTGGGGGCGGGGGCGCTCACCCCCCCCCGTATCCCCGTTCACTCTATGCCCCTTATGAACACCTGCTCTTGCTCCATGGAATTGGATTTACTTTCCCCTTCCCTCGATCAGACCAGAAATTCTCCTGGTCTCCCCGACAAAGTTTTACCCCCGCGGGGTTTATTGCTTCTTTTTTGTTTTAAATTACCGGGGGGGGTGGACCTGGTACCACTGGTGATCACTGTCATCAAGGGGGCCTGGGGTTTTCCACTGGGGGATCCCCTGTACTCAGGGTGGACCTGAGTACCCCTGTGATCAATTTCACTCGGGGGGACCCGAGTTTCCACTGGTGATCAATGTCCCCTCAAAGGGGGGCCTGAGTACCAAATGGTGAAACACTGTCACTAAGGTGGACACTGAGTACCCCCTGGGTGATCACTGTCACTAGGGTGGACCTGGGTACCCCTGGTGAAACACTTCCCCTCAAGGTGGAACCCGAGTACCATGGTGATCACTATCACTCAGGGGGGGACCTTTAGTACCAATGGTGATCACTTCATCGGGGGGACCTGAGTACCATGGGGATCACTGTCATAAGGGGGGACCTGGGAAATGTACCACCCTGGTGATCCCCTTAATTTACTCAAGGGGGACCTGAGTAAACCCCTGGTGATTCACTGTCACCCCAAAGGGGGGGCCTGGTACCACTAGGGGTCACTGTCATCCCGGGTGGAAACCCGAAATACCCACTTGGGGGGGTCACTTACTCAGGGGGGACCTGGTACCCCTGGTGATCACTTCAAATCAGGGTGGCCTTTAGTACCACGGGGACACTGTCAATCAGGGTGGACCTGAGTCCAATGGGGATCAGGGCACTCAGGGGGGCCCGAGTAACCCCCTGGGGGATCACTGTCACCCAAAGGGGTGGGGCCCGAGTCACTAGTGAAACACTGTCACTCAAGGGGGGGACCTGGAGTACCATGGGGAAACACTGTCCCCTTTAGGGGTGGAACCCGGGTTTCCACTGGTGATCACTTCAAAAAGGGGGACCTGAGTACCCCCTAGTGGTTTACTGTCCCCTTAAGGGGGGACCTGAGTACCCCTGGGGATTTAAATGTCACCCAAGGGGGGACCTAGTCCCCTGGTGATCACTTCCCAAGGTGGGCCTGAGTTTCCCCTTGTTTATCATTTTCACTCAAGGTGGACCTGGGGTACCAAATGGGATCAATTTCACCCAAGGGGGGGACCGAGTTTCCACTGGGGGATCACTGTCACTCAAGGGGGGAAAACCCGAGGACCCCTTTGATCACTGTCATCAAAGGGGGACCCGAGGGGACCAAATGGTGATCCTTCACTTTAAAGGGGGAAACCCGAGTACCATAGTTTA